ATGTGCGACCTGCCTGCGGACATTCGCTGTGATGGCGATTGTGTGTGAGCGAAGCAGATTGTCCGACGCGCGAGCAGGGCCGCGGGTGAGAGGAGGCTGGTTCGGAACACTTATCCCAGACTTCGCCAGGGGTGGCTGAAGATAACTTCGGGCCACACTCGAATCTCCTGCAGCTGACCTCAGGCTACACCCGAGTCCGCTGCAGCTGACCTGAGGCCGCACCTGACGTACCGCGGCTGACCTGAGCCGGCGCCGGCCGATCGCCGGCCTGAGGTCGGGCGGGCCGTACCGGCCGCCGGCCGGCCGGCCCAGCCCCGAACTATGCCCGGCCCGTGTCGTAATGACGTCTCATTAGGGCCGATCGGAGGCCGGCGGCAGCGTTGAACGGTCCCGCAGAGAGCGGCGCCGGTCAGCCTCACACACAGCCTCAGCCATAGCTCTCGGGCGGTGTCCACCACAGCCCACTGTTGCCCAAATAACCCTGTTCGTCGGCCCGTAGATTTGCGAAGGCGCGTAAAAACATATTACAAGGAGCTGCATCTACTCTAAATCGGAGCCGGCATTTGTACGATTTAAACAGAACTATCCGAACATCGCCCGTGTTGGACGGCTGGGGCCAGTTTATCGATTTCGGCGAAACGCTCTGAGATTTCCCAAGAGACGCGCCGGCGGGTGCCTGATGCGTTTCGCGCCCTCGCTTCCTGCCGGGGAGACGTTCGGCGGGGAGCGTCGGCGACCGGTTCCTGTTTGCGCGCCGCCCACCATTCCTGGGATGTCTCCGGCGAGCGCGTGCCGGGGGCGCGTCCCCACACGCCGTCCCCAGTCTCACTGCTGACACACAGCTCTCGAGCCGGGCATTCCGGAGGCGACGTCGGCATGGCTCGGCCCGCTCTCCCAGCCTCCTGTTTGTCCCCCCCCCCCTCACTGCCCAACACGGCCCATTGTAACGTCACGCGGCGTCCTCACCGACAACAGCTGCCCCCTCGACGTCACCGGACTGCGTCGGCTGACGGGTCTGAGAGCGGGCGAGCCGCGCTGGCTGTGTCTGAGTTCACCGAGGCTTTGTCGGGGCAGCGGACTCGCTCGCGAGCGGACGTGGAGGCAGGCCCCGCCATGAACGCACGGGATCGCGAGTGCGACCAGGGCCAGCCGGCGAGTCGGCGAGCCCCGTCCACCCCGGTGGTGTCCCGTCCACGTGCCCGCCCGTCCTGTCCTGCGGAGCCCCTCCCCCGGCCCGTCCTGCCCTGCGCAGCCCCTCCCCGGCCCGTCCTGTCCTGCGCAGCCCTGTCCAGGGTTCAGGCCCGTCAGCAGTATGCCGTGGCGTCCCGCCGCGCGTTTTTGCCCGCCTGTTTGTCTCTGCCGGCGTTTGGTGTATTGTCTCTGGGCCTCGCGATTGAGATGGATGAGCGGGCCGGCCGCGGGCTTGTTGTGTCTCCCGCCGGACGATAACAAGAGGGCAAGGCCTGTCGACACGACCGGCCTCCCGGCGTGACCCTGGCGGTCATCGCTCTTTTGGCTCCTCATTCTCCGCGTTGGGCGAGGTCGAGCCAGACTTCGCGCGGCGGCCGATGGCTCGCGCTCAGCTCCTCGGCACTTCTCTTCCTCTTCTCTTCCTGGACGCTTCGCTTCGGAGAGGTCGGTCACCGGCGGCCGTTCCGCCGCCGCCGCCGCCGTGGCTTCTGCGCAACCGGGCTCGGTCTGATGACGTCACGTGACCCACCGCGGCCTGCAGGTGGCCGCTGCCCGTGACCCGACTGTGCGCGGTGACCGGTGCGCTGGCCGCCGGGGCGGTCGCATGGACCGGCCGGCCGGCGGTCTGCGGTCGGCCGCGGCCCGTTGACGGCCGGCGGCGGCTCGTGCCGCACCCATACTGCGGTACAGCTGGACCTGTCACGCCGGGGTGATTTAGAGCCGCGGCTGGACGGTGGCCGCGGCACAGTTACCTGTCCGGCCGACGACTGCTGGCCTGACGCCATGCGTCTTCATTGCCGAGCGCCGCCGGCTGCTGGTCGTCGGAGCCGGACCCGGCGTCGGGCGCCGCTGCCGTCCTGACCTGCGGGCCCGGCCCCGCCCCGCCCCGCCCCGCCCCGCGCAGGGCGTGCCCGGCGCCTGTCCGCCCACTTCCGGCCGTCGCCAGTACACGCTCGCTGGGAACCCCGTGCAAACAGGCCCGGCAAAAAGGCTGTTACGGCGCGCCGACCGTCGCTGCCGGCCGCGTAATGACGCCGCCGGGCCGACAGTCTGTGCCGGCTGGCGCCATTGTCCGGCGTCAGGCCACACACCGCTGCAGTCCGGCGGCCATCATGCCGTGTCCGGCGAGACGCGGCCGTCCGGGCTCGAGCCGGCCGCTGGTGACCTCGACCCGCGGCGGCGACCGGTGACGGCGCGCTGTCCTGCGGGGCGGCGGGCTGGAGCGGATTAGCTGACCTCGACCCGCGGCGGCGACCGGTGACGGCGCGCTGTCCTGCGGGGCGGCGGGCTGGAGCGGATTAGCTGACCTCGACCCGCGGCGGCGGCCGGTGACGCCGTGCTGTCCTGCGGGGCAGCGGGCTGGAGCGGCTTAGTAGCTCACCTGGACAGGCTTCGCGTGAATCATGTCGTGGTGGCGGGGAGGGGGTATTGGCATAGATCCTCGGATGCAGAGTGTGGAGCGGGGCTATCCCCGACAACAAAAATGTCAACGCATGCCGCTTGGGTAAGTGGTAGATATCTGGTTTCCTGCCTGCAAAGCATGCCTTATGCATCAGGCCGTCACGGCACGGCTACTGTCAGTTAAAATGCATGAGGACGATGGGAACCTCGTATTATGCACGCCAGCTGCATTGACGCCGGCCAGTTTGCGCTGCACTGTTGCGCAGTGCCTGGACTGCGCGGCATTATCCCGTCCTGGCCGCGCCTGTCCCGTGTCGCACCGGTCCGTGTGGTTGACCCAGCCATGACTCACCCGGGGGCGGTACGGGGCCAATGGGCCGCGCTCCAGAGGCCGGGACATGCCGTGACTGGACGGGGTTCGGGTGGAGCGGTGCTGGCCGCCGAGAATGTGATGCCCGTCAGCGATGCCACTGGTGGCCGGCGCTGCCGCAGAGGCTGGTGTGTGTCTGAGACGCCAAACCCAACACGTCTGACATCGAGTTACCTCCTGCCGTTGCTCGCGCAGCAGTCGAGATCCGGGCGGTCGTGACCCCAGATCCGCCTCACGCGCCATGTGAAGCCCCATTTGCATACCCAGGAGTCGGTCTGGGTCAGCACGGCGGCCGTCGTGATCCCGTGACCCCTGACCTGCTGCGGGCGGCCCCTGCCTCCGCCCCTCCCCCGTAAGCGTGCCCCCGAGCCGTGACCGCCCGAGACGTCTCGGTGTGTCAGCCAGAGACGTCCGCCCGCCGACAGGCGGACAGACTGCAGGGCGCCCCTCGCGTCAGACACACAGCGTGGCGGCTGCGACGGCCGCTGTGACGCAGCGGCAGCGGCGCGGTGCCGCTGTCCCGCCGGCTGCCGCCGCTGCCGCCGCTGCCGCCGCTGCAAACCGGTTCTGGCTGCCGCTTCAGCGAAGCCGCGGCGCGGCCGGAGGGACCTTCGGCCGGGGAAAGGCGCCTTGGCCGAGTACGGGGAAGCGCCCGACTGGAAATGCCTGCCTCGGCATCGCTGCTGCCTTATGCAAGCGGTGCAGGACGTGAAAGGTGGCGCGGATGTGGCGCATGTCGGCTACGCGGAGGCCGGCAGCGGACGGCGGCCGTGACGTGGGCGCCGTCCGAGGGCCTCGTATGTGGTGACCCTCTTTTTCTGCTCTCGTGAGCCGGAGAGATACATTACACGCTTTCATCACGGCGGGCCGCATCCACAGTTGTAATGGCTGTTTACCTCCCCGAGCTCATCGCATGCGTGGTGCGCATACCCTGGAGACGAGCCTCCCGGAGGAACTAATCACCGGCGGCCGCTGTGCCGACGGCCGTTGTCGCCGTCGCGCCGCCCTCCACGGGGACGATCGCGACGGCTGATTTCCGCGGGCGCGACAGCCACTGCCGGCGATCGGTCAGCGGCGCTCTGGGCGGCGGGCGGTGTCCGCGCGCCGGCGTGATGCGCGGAAATTGGACCCGCCGTCGCCGGGAGTCTGCCGGCGCGCCGGCCGGGCGGCGGGCGCGGGATGACGCGGCCGTCTAGCGGCGGGCCGCCGCCGGCCGTTTCTCCTCCTCCCGTTGTACGCCGGACTGGTGTTGTGACGCGGAGCGGACCAGGTGTCCGGCGGAGGCGCGGCCGGGTCAGCAGCGCCGCCGACGGGAGGCGGTGCCGGCCGGCTGGGGTGTGGGCGCCGCGCGCTGGGTGGAGACGGGGCGCCTGATGGCTCTGTCAGCCGCGGTGCGCACGCGAAACGGTGGGCGGCGGCGGGCGGGGCGCGGTGGACGGAAGCGGTGCACTCGGAACTGTGGGCGGGCACTCCGCTCGTCGCCTCACGCGCTATCCACACTGGCCGCGCGGTGGGCGGACGCTGACATCCGCCGCAGACGTCCGTCTCCCGGGCCGGCCGGCGTCGCTGCGGCGCCGCACTGAGCTGGGATGCCCCCCGAGTGACTGATGTGTCAGCCCGGGAGGCCCGCTGAATGGGTCCGGCTCTGCCCGGCAACCTTACTTGAGATCGTGACGCTGTCTTGCTTTCGTGACTTCGTGTATCTGTCGTCTGATTTGTTGTTCGACAATGTTTTGTGTAATGGCGTGCTTTTCGGGCCAATTCTCGGTAGGGCAGATGGAAAAACGACTGACTACGTTGTTATCGTGCCCGCTATGGTCATGTCTGTTAATCTATGTCTGCATGCATGACGGATTGTTGGATTAAGTGGAGCTACCAGACATAGATTTGTTCGACGAAAATGTGTGGTGAAATTAAGCGCACGCGAGGATTCGTAGCACAGCTCATTAGGCGTATTAATGGGCTGCATGGGGCCGCTGCAGACGGTCCGTGCAGCTGCACAGGTCCGTGAAGTAACCCGGGAATCTTCTGATTGCAGATGAGGGAAGCATGCTCAAGTTTTCTGGCAATCTCTCCCACAAGGACCACTTCAGGCTGCTGGAGAAGGACGGCGACTCGCTCCTCATTGGCGCCAGGTGAGTCGCGTGTATCGCTGACGTCGGATTACTCGTCCGGGGAATAGGGGCTGGTATGCAGATGCGCTACGGCTTTTGTCGGTCGGCGCTTGGCTCGGTGAGACGGATCGTCCCGACTCTGCCCGGGCCTGAGGGCGGTCCCGCAGTGGCCGCTGTGGTGTCGCAGATGGACAATCGAGGAAGTGTCCGTCCGTCCTCTCCGCGTGCCGCACCGGACGGGCGGCTGGAGCGAAGGGTGCGCGTCAGCTCCTCCCCAGACAGCTGGTCTATGGCTTCATCCGTGCAAACGCGTCCCTATGGCCCCGGCGCGGGATGCTGCAATGTTCAGACTGGGTCAAGATGAGCTATGTCTTTCTACTGCACCGCGAACTGACGTGTTCTGAGTTTGTCGGACGATGCGCCGATTCCAAAACCCCAGCGTCGACGATTGCCAATTTCCCAGTGGTCTACACCGCCGTCAACTCTTACTCGGCCTGCTGCAGTGGGCGGGCGAAACAAATGACGGTCACCCCTGCCGTCGGCAGTGCCGGTCGTCGTCGGGTTTCCGCGCGCGGCCGTAACGACGTCGGGAATGACGGGACTGGTCGCGGATTGCCTGTCGGTAACGACGCGATTCGTCAGGCGGCGGCACCGCGGGGAATCGACGGATAGCGATAATGAAAGTCCAGCCGACAGACGCGCCCACGCGCCTGCCGCCTGCAGGGGCGGCCCCGCACGCCGATGCGAAAGCGCCGGCCGCTTTTTGGCGGCCGCGGGCGGCCCGTTTTCCGGGCCGGGCACGGCGTTGTGCGGTGGGTCGCGTCTGGTTCACCATTTCACAGTCTGAGTCACGTGTCGCATTTGCCGGGCGCATCGCCGGGGCGACCGGCCGCTTCTGTTGCACCGCCAGCCGGTTTCCCGTGTGGCCCTCGCCGCTGCCGTGGGTGGCGTTGATCGCCGTCCCCACGGGCGAGGTCTGCGGCAAGCGGCGGTGCGGTGACGGATGCCGTCGGACGGTCGGCACGGAGGCCGCGCCAACCGTCGCCCAGTGCTGGCAGGCTAGGGGGACGGCGGCGTCGCGCGGCTGGCACCACCAGCACGCGTGCCGACGGGAACGTGCCCAGCAACGAACTGGGAGTGAGACAGGGTGTGTGTTGTAGCCACACTGTACTTGTTCTTGACCTTTGTGATAACTAACGACCCGCATCACCTTCTCTGGTATATTTTTACTCAGCACGCTTGACTTACAGCATCCCTGGAGTTTGCTGCGGTGTTCGGAGAGGGTAGACTAAGCGTCTCGCTAGGCATCGGTACGGCACGCGATGCCACCGCCGGCGCTGGAAAGGCCGTCAGCGTTTCTGACAGGCCGCCATAGCAGCGGCAGCTCCCGGAGGGCGGCCGGTTTTGACGCGTGACGTGCTCCAGGATCATCGTGTTCAACACGACTCCGTGGCGCCCACTGACACATGACGTGCGTTCCAGGAACATCGTGTTCAACATCAGCCTGTCTGACTTCACGGAGCGCCGAGAGGAGCGGCTCGAGTGGCACTCTGAGCAGCAGGACGTCCAGCTGTGCATCATGAAGGGCCTCGACGAGGTGAGCACGTGCACCACGCCCGCAACGTCGTTTGTCGCAGCCGAACGCCGTGAGCGCGTCCACGAGCCGTGGACCGCGTCTGGCCGCCACGCAGCGCGTGTGCAGTAGCTGGGCGGCACGCTTGCGGTTCTCTCTCGACTGGCCCTTGTCAGTGTTTTGCGTCTTGCAGCTGTGCTGTGCCTGTGCTTGTGCTGTGCCTGTGCTGTCTGGCGCTGGCGTTGAGGCCCCGCCCCGTCAGCGCCGTCCGTCCTTCCAGCGCAGTCTGGGCCCGTTCGCGCTGTACCGCGCCGCTTGTGTCGGTCTGTTCCTTCATGCGCACATCCCCGCTAGAGGATATGGGATTTCCGGCTCGGCCTCGTCCGATTTCTTGCAGTATGCTGCCGGGTCGGCTCGTTTCCAAGGCGGGACCACGCGGCACGTCTAAAGTGCCGTGCTAACTTGACGGACGTGGATGTGCTGGCGGCGGGCCCGCGCGTCAGCAAGGCTGTGTCCGGGCTGGGAGCGATCGAGGAATGTCCCCTGGGTCGCGGGCACTCTGAGCCGGCGGCGCGCTGAATGTCAAGCGAGAAAAAGTCACCGTTACTGGCGTCGCCAGAAACGCTGACGCTGACTCGCGCCTTCGTCTGCGCGGACATCCCTGTGTTCTCCCAAATCTCTCTCCCGCGGCTCACGGCCACGTGCGACCCCCCCCCCCCCCCGCCCCCGGCGTCCCCCCCCCGCAGCGCGTGAACATGGCGAAGCGCGTCCGCCGGTTCTGCTGGGTGGTCGTTCCGGTGGCGCCGCTCCACACGCGGTGCTCGTGACGCGGCGGCTCTTAAGTGGCGCGGCCGCGCCGGCCGGCCAGCTCTGCGGCCACGGACGGGCCACTTATTCCAGCCGCGTCGCCCCCCGGGCCGCTGTTGTTGAGGAGATGTCACCACGCGTGTCCTTGGCGCTCCGACAGGAGGCGTGCCACAACTACATCCGAGTGCTGGCCAAGAGAGGCGACGATGAGCTGTTTGTGTGCGGCACCAACTCCTACAAACCCAAGTGCCGCAGCTACAAGAAGAAGCCGGTACGTGCGCTCGGCCGGCGCAGGTTGTGGCGATGATGTTTGATTGTTCAAACGATTTAAAAGAAACTGCGTCTGATGGTTTTGATCGCTTCCCTTTTCCCATGAGCAAGTGGGTGTCATTTGAGGCCGGGTTTCAGACATTTGTCAAAGGTATTCAATTTTGTGCGCCCCGCTTCCGGAGGCGTGTCGTTAAAACACCATCAACAAACCACTGCTTACGTTCTGGCTTCCGACGTGGTTGATTGATTACCGGGCTGGCGTCGTTAGTGCGTGTGGGCACTGACGCGGCCGGTGTCGCGTGTTGCAGGACCTGGGCTACGTGCCTCAGGGCGGCGAGCGGGACGGCCGCGGCCTGTGCCCGTACGACCCCAACCACAACAGCACGGTCACGTTCGTCGGTGAGTGGTGCCGCGCGCGGCGGGACGCCGCCGTCTGCCGCGTCTGGGGCGCACGGGCGGTCGGCGGCGAGGGCGACCGGCGCGGTCAGGCGGGCCGCATCGCGTCGGCAGCGGGGGCGCTCGACGGACGGCTGTCGGTCGCGGCTGTGAGGAGGGGAAGAGAAGCAGAAGCCCGTGCCCCGCGTCCTTGTGCAGTCCGGTCCGAGCCACCGCCACCTCCGGCGGCGGCAATCCTGCCCGCGCGACCGGTGTACCAACCGGCCGAGGCCACCGGCGGCCATCCCCCGGCGCCGAGCCTGCTCGCCGCGGACGCGCGTCACGCCTGGCCTCGGCGCGGAAATGCCGCCCCGCCAAAGGGCTGGCGTCCTCGCGGCGGTCACGTGCGCGCGCGGCTGTCCCCTGCCCGCTGAGCGGCGGGCGGCACGCACCGGTCCGCGGCTGGCGGTTATGGACGGTGTTCGGTCGGACCGGCGCCCGTCGCTGGCTGGACGTGAGAGCGCCGGCCGATGGCGGCCTCGGCTGCGCTCGGAGCGGCTGCGCCTGCGCCCGGCGGCGGCAGCGGCGGCGGCCGACCGCGGTCGTGACGGCCGACCGTGTGACGCGGCTTCCTGGACGGAGGAGCCGCTCGCGTGACTCGGTACACCGTGTGTGAGCGTGGCCGACTGTTGGCGGGGAACAAATCCAGGGCGGCTGTTTGCTCGCGACGCGGGGCGCCGTTTTTACCGTGGCTTGTGTGCCGCGCGCTGGCGGGCTGTTTTAAACCGGCGTTGTTTGCCGCGCCGCGCCGGTGTCGTTTCGAGAACCGGAGTCATTTCCGCCGTCTTGCTTTTGTCCACGTGTCGCTAGTTCGGCCATTTTGAACTGATCGGCGACCGGAGATCATTGCATATGTGTCGTAGTTCACGGGACTGTCCCGGGTCCAGGGCGAGGCGCCAGATCCGGCCAGGGGGCTCAAAGATAACGACAGTCCCGGCGTGCCGACGCCGAGCCGGCTGGCGGTGCGCCGAGACGGCGGCGGCCGGAGTCGGCCCCTTGCGGCCCGGCCCGGCCCGGTCGGTCAACGCCCTCCCCCGGCGCCGGCGATCGCAGTCGGCACGCGCTGCGATTCCCCGCAGACGCGGCGGCCGGCGCGGCCCGTTTTTGTCGGCCGGCAACGGGTCGTAATGGACGGCAGGCGACGGGGTGACGGCTCGCCGGCCTGTGCGTGCCCCGGGAGCGTTTGGGTGTTTATGCTGCGCGTGCTGCGTGTGCTGCGTGTGCTCTGTTTGGGTGCGCGCGGTCGCGAGCACTCACCAACCACCGATGTGCCCGCGTTGTTTGAGCCGATGTGCCAGCGATTGGTGTGCCGGGGAGGCTGGGTGGCGCCGAAGCTCATTCCGATCACACGGATACCGATGGTGATGATGGTTAACGGTGCTGACGCTGATGGGGCGCTGGCGCTGACTGGTGCCGGCGTTGACGGGCTGACTGGCGCCGCAGGTGGGCAGACGTACGCCGGCACGGTGGCCGACTTCGCCAGCTCCGACCCCCTCATCTACCGGGACCAGCGGCCGCTGCGTACCGACAAGTTCGAGCTCAAACAGCTGAACGGTGAGTGCCCCGCCGGGCCGACCGAGGGGCGAGGGAGGGAACGGGGAGTCGAGGAGCGAGGCCCGTGTGGACGCAAGCACGTAGGATTTAGAAACGCCGAACGGTGCTGGTCGGTAGAACACCTTGACGTCGACCGAGGCTCAGTGACCGACGCATTCGTGCGATGGCATGGCTTTGCGGGTTTAGAATGGAATTGTCCTCGCATTTGTCAAATACTCGTTGGGACTTCACGCTGTCACGAGCAAAACATTACTCAGACAGAGCAGCGCATTCCTTCCCGAAGACTTCGTCCGGCTCTGTGAGGATTGGGATCGTTGTAGTCCGCTGCTCGCCTCGGAGCGCCTTTTGCGGCTTTAATGCGGCTGTAAGCGGGCAGGATCTGCATGTGAGAGCCGCGATTCCCGTACCAGGCGGTGCCGGGTCCGCGGCAGCGGAGGGCGAGATGTGTATCGGCCCGGCGCACCCGTGGCCGAGTGCTTGTTAAACTTGGCCGGCTTCCGTACGGCGTCTCGGCGGGGCCGCGGCCGCGCGTTCCTCTACGGATGCGAGGTTCTGTCACGCCTCATGATCGTCGAGCGTCGCTGGGACACCGCGCCGGCGCCGGCGTCGACGCGACGGGGCGGGGCCACTCGCCAGCCCCCCGCCGCGGTCACGTCGCGCCACCCGGCGGAGCCGCCAGGCGCGCCGGCGCCACGCGCCCTCGCGGACCGGCTGCAGACAGGGCAGTCACCCTCCCTCCTCCGCCCCCCCCCCCCTCCGGCCAATTGAGCCTCGCGCCGCCGCCGCCGCCGGACGCTTCCATTGTGGCGGCGATGTTGCGTCGCTGGAGGCGACCCTGAGACGTCAGGCGGCGGGGAGGCCGACTGCGACATCAGGCACCGTAACGGGACTCTCGAGCCTCTGACGGGGACGCACAGGGTGCGGAGAGCGCCGGGCTGGCCAGGGGCTCACACCCGTGGTAAGATGGGACACGGCTGACCGGTCAGAACTGGTCTTTGGTGCGCATTTGTGGGTCGTCAGGTTGGGGATTGGAGCTTGTACCAGACGGACAAAACAGGCACGGTAACAGATTAGGGGCGCCCTGAGTACAACTTGGCTATGTGGCTAGAAAAGACAGGTGTGCTTTAAGATGATTTCTGGCGGAAGACTTGTTTTGGTCGTTCACTAACGAAAACATGCCAGCTGTGCATTCGGCAAAATAAGTCCTATTTTGAACGCTTGTAAATATTTGAATTCCTGACCTTCATCTTCGTCATTATAATTGCGACGAAATAGCTCATTCATAACATGGTGCCTGCAATAAGCCAACACTTCGTCCTAAGCCGTTCCACCTAAAAAGCTGTCCGGCGACGCGTCGCCAAGCTGAGAGCGTATTGTCTCAGACGGGCGCTCGAAACGTGCGAGGACCTCCACCCACGGTGTGTGGGCCGTTGGCTGCAGCACGGGCTGGCGAGGGGTCGTGATAGGCCACAGCCATGGGGACAACCGCCCAGACTGGCTGATCATGTACGAGAGAGGTGGCTGACCGAACTTGCCACGCGGAAGGGCTGGAACGCTGATGTCCCTCCATGTAATAGGAGCGTAGTAGGACAGGAGCTTGACGGCGCTTGTCGCAGGGAAGTAGTATTGGGTGTGGAACGCAGAGCGGCACACAGGTGGGGAGATGACACAGACCGTCCACGCACACCGCGTCGGCCATCGGCCACAGGGGACTCGGTGCTCCAACCTCCCGACCTCTGACCTCGGCTTCGAGGCTCGTCTCCTTGGCGCCTCCCGCGGCGTGCCGGCGGTACGTGTCTCCGGCGGGCGCCTGAAGCTCTCACGCGCCGACGGCAAAGTGTGCCCCCTGCACGTGACGGCAGGCGCCCTCCCCCCCCCCACCCTCCCCCCCCAGCCCGACACGTGAGCCCAGTTTGCCGGGTCGACTCCGGCTGCCGACGTGTCTGGCTGGCGTCCAGCGGCCGCCTTTAAAGACCCCGCGGCGGTCCCGTGACGGCCGTGACGCGCCGACGAAGCACGGCCGCCCGCTCCCGTCAGGAGGCGCCGACACGGCCGGTGTTCCGTAGCCGTGCGGGGCGCGGGCTCACATCTGTGGTTGACGTGGGGTGTGTGATCGATGTTGGACGCTGCTGTGGCCGCCTGGAGCTGACGGAGGCGTCCGGTGGCCGCCACTCCGGTCCCGATCTCGGCTCCGGGTGATTCATGACGGACACTTGATTGTCTGGCTCCGACCACAATCGGCTGCGAGTGCCGGCGCTTGATTAAAACACGCCCTCTCACATTGGAGAGGTCAGTCAGGTAAACCTTCATTTCATATAACGCGACTTTTGACTTTTTGTGATTAATCGAAATTCGTGCCCGACGCGAAGAGGTCGATTATATTGGAGGAACACCATTAACATTGTTGGCTGTGTCCAGCAAAGGGTTCGGGCTCAGTGAAACGAAAAGTGTGCAGCCCGGAGGCAAATGAATGGCTTCGTCGTCGGTCGGACATAACCCCGACCCTCTGGTTCGGCCGTCCTCACGCTTCCGCCGCCGCCCAGCGGGCTGCCCGATGCGTGGCCCGGCCGTCAGTCTCAGCATAGTGCCCAGGTAGACGTGTCCGGCACGTTTTGCAGCTGCGTTGACAGCGATCGACGGCCTACAGCTGCGTCGTGCTGGAAAGACTAGCCTCTCTCCTCATCTGCTCACGGCAGCGTTCTTTCTGCTGGGGTTCCGGCTGACTATACACGGTGGAAATCATTTTCACTCCGTCTTCACTTCAAATCGGTGTATGTGATTCAAAGCGCCTGGCGGTATTCCATTAGCGTGATGTTAACGCGCCGTTACCGGCCGCCAACAACGCCATCGTTCGTGTTAGTGTTGACCCGCCGTGTAAATGGCGGCAGCTCCTGGCTGGCGCTATATTCGGCCTGGGAGTAAACAGCGGCAGGGGCTGGTCGGCCTGAACCGCGGCCCGGAGGCGGTGCCGCCTCCCCATGTGTGACGCGGCCGCAGCGCCGGGCCCGCCGCAGCTGACCGGGACGGTGCGCGACCCGGCGCCACGGCGCGTCCCGCGCCATTTGCCGCCGATGACGGATGACGTCGGCGGCAGGCCTTCTGTGCACCGCTCCGCTGTATTCAGCTGTCGCCGGGCTTATTGGTAACGGCCGGCGGCGATTTATGATGTCGCCGCTTGGCCGCTCGATAGTTGGCTATTTGTGGTGTGCTGACGGGGCGGACGCGGCCTGGAGCGGCGCGGCGGCGTCGAGCCGGCTCCGGCCCTCGTCCGGCCGTCCGGGGCGGAGGCGCCGCTGCGCTGCACTGCCGGGCCGGCACAGCGCCCTGTTCGGCGACCGTCTCTCCTGCGGCGCACGGGTCGTCCCCGGGTCCTGTGGCCGGCCGGTGGAAGGGGTCGGGACGGTCGGGGGGATGCCGACCGACGCTGGCTAGCGGACAGGCCCGGTCCAGTCCCAGGTGGCACCGCCCAACCTGGTCGGACCGGGCCGGACCGGGCCGGACATGTCTGCCGGACATGTCTGCCGGACCGGGCCGGACATGTCTGCCGGACCGGTGCCGAGACCGCTCACAATGGCCAGAGGTTGCGATGTGTCGGAAGTGCTTGGAGTGTTCGAGCCGCCTGGTTTAACTAAACTCGTTTGTGGTGGGCCGGGCGGGAGGGTCTCGCCGCGCCTGCAAACGATGCTACCGCGAATTTCAGTGTGCAGACCTAGGCTCCCATCGATCTTGACTGTCCAGAGACCTGTCCCAGCCTAGCACTGCATATGCTAGCAGGCCTTCAATTGCGCATGTATACCAATGACAGAAGCACATCTGATTGTGTACTGCTGTACTGATCGTGTACCGCTGTGAACACGTGACTGCCGGTCTCCACACGCTGCCCGCCTGATGTGTCTGTCCATGTGCTCTGCAGCGCCGAGTTTCGTGGGCTCCATGGAGCACGGCGATCACGTGTACTTCTTCTTCCGGGAGACGGCTGTTGAGTACATCAACTGCGGCAAGGTGAGGGGGCGCTGGGGCGCGGGGGTGCCGGGGCGCCGTGGTTGTTGCGTGTCACGGGAGCGGACGGACAACTGTGCGGCTCGCAATGCGAGGTCAGCACTGCTCGAGGAGGGCCGAAGTCGAAACGTCGTATGTGAGAGTCGCTTCACAAGGCCTTGTGTTTGTGTTTTGTTTTGTGTGTGCTGTATACGGCGGCTTTCGTACGTCGTGATACTTTTATGGTGTGGAGTGGAGAGACAATCTGCGGGACCGGCACTGCGTTGACTCCACTTGCACCGGGTGACAACTACTCGCTTGACTGGTTCGATAGGCGCGATTCGGCTTATCTAACCGGAGGAAAAGAAGCCAGCTTGCTGTCATGGTCTCAGCTGGTTGCTCGATGGTATCGAACCAACTCGAACGGTGCTGCTGATTTTTTGGCCTTGAGATGATACACTCAGCCCCATGTTCTCACAATGGTCTACGGCTTACGGCCATAGCGCGTCTCGAGTGCATGGTCCTTTCGTTACTGACCGCGTGCAATTTTATCATTTCGCAGAGGGCGTACTCCCGTGTGGCTCGCGTCTGTAAGAAGGACAGAGGCGGCTCGTACAAGTACAAGAACAAGTGGACGTCGTTCCTCAAGTCCAGACTGAACTGCTCCATCCCTGGAGAATACCCGTTCTACTTCGACGAAATCCGTGAGTACCTATGCCGGCCACTCTTCGAAGCGTCAGCGCTGTCGAGGCACTCCTCCGCGGGAAGGGCCGGCCTGGTGCCGTGCGGCGCGTGTCGTCCTGCCGCTCCGTCGCCTGCGGTCAGCAGCAGCTGGGTAGGATCAGTGCCGAGTGTTGAGCTCCGGCGGGCACGCTGATGCGGTCGGCGATACTGACGCTCATCCGCCGCTCCCAGCCTGTGCTGGGGGCCGCTCTCTGACCGCGCTGCCTCGTTCGCAGAGTCGATATCGACGGTACAGAGCGGCGTTTACGGCGGCCGGCCGGAGGAGATCCTCTACGCCGTCTTCACCACCCCCTCCAACAGCATCCCCGGCTCGGCCATCTGCGCCTTCCGCATGGCCGACATTGTCGATACCTTCGACGGCGCGTTCAAGCATCAGCAGAACATGAACTCCAATTGGCTGCCCCTCAAGAGTTCTCAGGTAACGCTCGTGAGACGGTGGTTCATTATGCTAGACGATTTTCAAACAACAGTGTCCGGACCAAGACAGACATTCTGTCCATTGATGCGTTCGATGACGTCGACGGCTTACCAGGTAACCATAATGCGCGTGACGGTGCCGGCTGACCCGTCGTGTGACCCTGCCTGACGTCCCGCGCGTCGCCACAGGTGCCACAGCCGCGGCCCGGCCTCTGCGTCAACGACTCGCGCCGCCTGTCCGACGTGCACCTGAACTTCATCCAGTCGCACCCGCTGATGGACGCCGCCGTGCCTGCGCTGCACGGCCGGCCCCTGCTGGTTAGCACCAGTCTGCGGCACCGGTTCACCAAGATCGCCGTCGACCCGCAAGTGGCCGCCGCCGACGGCACGCTCTACGACGTGCTCTTCATCGGAACCGGTACGGCAGTGCGCAGGCGCGGCGGGCGGTGCGCTGCGGTGCCCAGAGGTGTGTCTGCGTGCACGGTTCATGTCGGAAGTGTTTGTATTCCCGCGCACTACGCTGCCAGCTGTCCTTTTTTACGTGCATTTGTCCCTCTGCCTTACGTGAGACGTGACACTGTTGGCCTTCGTGAGTCTCACCCACTCGGTACAACTCGCATACCGGTATCGCTAAATGCCCGCCCTCGACCGACAGACGACGGTCGCGTGCTGAAGGCGGTGAACGCGGCGTCTGGCTCGGCGTCGGTACGCGCCGAGCCGGTGCTGGTGGAGGAGCTGGAGGTGTTCCCGAGCGGCGCGGCCATCACCAACCTGCTGGTGTCGCGCCAGCCGGCCGGCCCGGCCCGGCTGGTGGCCGTGACGGACAGTGAGGTGCGCGCGCTGCCGCTGTACCGGTGCGGCGACAAGGCGGTGCGCTGCGCCGACTGCGTGCGCCTGCAGGACCCGTACTGCGGCTGGGAGGCGGCCGGCCAGCGCTGCGCCCCGATCGACTCGCCCTCCTGGCCCGAGGGCATCGCCGTGGTGCAGAACGTCAGCCACGGCGCGCACCCGCACTGCCCGCCCGGTGAGCGTCACGTCCGTTGGCTATTGCACCGCGCAAGTATCGTGTCGTTATCGTGTCGTTAGTCCGTGAACGGATCAGTATTTTTAGCCGTGGGGTTTTGCTCGTTTGAGATTAGGTACGATTTTTGAGTCGTGGGCTGCCTTTCGCGTAAATTTTAGTATATTTGATTTCCATCGCGTGGAATATAGTTTTCCCTGTAGGCATTGCAGACTTGCGTGTGTGGATTGTTTGGTGGCGCAGTTAGACCATAACGTGTTCTTCTTTGTCCACAGTTGGAGATCGAGAGCCGAAGATTCTCTACCAGGAAGCAACCAGTAAGTATGACAGCGATTCTCACAGCTACGCACAAGTTTTGTATTTGCTGTACATGTTTTTTGTTCACCGCACTGCCTTTGTGTGTGCACCGGCCAGCACGCGGCCTGTGCTGCGCGCCTGCGTGTTGCCTGCGGCACTGCACGGCGGTCCCTGCATCCTCTGTCTGCTTGTTTGTAGCGCCCCGCACCACGGCGGCCACCACGACAGCATCGGCGCCCTGTGACTGTGGGGCCGACCCGGCCGGCGCGGCGACTCGCACCCCCAACACGCCGCGCGCGGCGCACACACTAGGTCAGTGCTGGCGATGTCCAGGACCTCCACTGCCGCCCGGCACAGCCGGCTCTTTTCGGTTATGGACTCACTCACGATCTTGTCTTTTTGATGTGGTAAATGACAATTGTCTGGTACTATGTGTAAAGACGCTGACGGGCATCCGGTTTGGTCAAAAAAGGAATGCTAAGCAGAAGTGAGGAAAGTAACGCATGGAAGTCAAGGTTTTCTAAATTCGCCACACGAAGTTGGCAGGCTGTAATCTAAAGGGCGCAAACTCGTCTTATTGCAGAGAAGACAGTTGACAGAGTCCGGTATAGTGCCGGCGAGCGCGGTCAAAAGGTTCTTGACATCGTGGAGCAGACCAAGCCACACCACGCGGGTCAGTCCCTAGGTAAGCCAGGTCAAGACCCCAGCCCAGCTCCGCGGACTGCCGTCTCCCTGGGCGGTTATGAGCACTGCATGGTCTGGATGTCGCTGGTCTGCAGGCTCCTTCGACCGGCTCGTGTCGTGTTTGCCTTGCAGTTCGAACACTGGCCTTCGTCCGGTTTGTGCACTCAATACATGGTCCGAAATGTCTGGCAATGGTTTAACTGCAAGTGCGAAGTGCCTGGCGCTGATGGCATGAGGAAGGCTGACCGGCGAGACCTTGAGTCTCGCGATTGCTGTGGTATGCAGGAGCGCGCGACTCCCCGTCTAGCGGTCTTCACCGCCGACAAGCTGCACGTGATACAGGTGATTCCGGACGTTCGGCCGCAGGTGCCTCCGACATCGCCTGAGTCTTGCTCCCCGCCGCCTTCCACCGCCGCCTCCCAACCCGTCGGCAGCCCGCTGGCGTCACCTAACGTCCTTGTACTTGTTCGCAGAGTCGCAGTACTCGACGGCGGCGGCGACGGGCGGCATGTACACGGCCGAGACGCTAGCCGTAGCCGTGGTGACCACGTGCCTTCTGGCCGTGGTGATCGGCTTCCTGGCCGGCTGGCTCATCTCGCGGCGCTACTCGCGCACGCGCAGCGAGGCCTACTACGAGACGCCCCACCTGGACCACCAGTCGAAGATGAACCAGATGGAAACGGCGCCGCCGGTGAAGCCAGACAACAGGTAAGACACGCACTGCCCGCGGGCGCCAGGCAGCCCACGGAACGAAACGGGCCAAGTCATTAGCGTTCAAAACATACAGGAACTCTAAGCGGATTTGAGGTGATGTACCCTGGATGCGCGAGGTTGTGGTGATATCGTTTGGTGACAGTTGTTACAACGGACTCTTTCTGGCGTTCCAGGTGCGACCAGAACTTCCTGAACTCTGAGCCGGCGTTTCTCGTGAACAATGGCAAACAAATAAACTTGGTCGTGAACCAAACGAAAAACAGCAACGGCAAGAACGCCAATTCGGCGGCAGACAATAAGCCGTTGCAAAAAGTGCGCAAAATGTACTTGTAGTGCGCGGCGCGGACGAGAACGAGTGCCGCGGCCCTAGTGGCGGACGACAAAAGCTGCAGTGCGGTCGATCGCCGCACGCGGGCCGTGCGTGATAGTCGCCACCCGAGCTTCCTCTGCCGTGACCAGCGAGAAGGCGTACAGCGAGGCACCGAGACCACATGGGCATCGCCCCAGAGCATTCGAGGTTTGCCGGCATGTCCTACAGATCACGCCCGGAGCCGGCATCACCTGGGAAGGAGCACTGGCCAGTGGAGCCAGTGCGGCTGGCGGCCAAACCACCCTGCCGTGCGGCCTGCCCGCTGCCACTTGTTCGCTGCGCTGGACGACTGCTGGCCAGCTGGTGCTCGTTTGTGATGTGTTGCGCGCAGGAGGCTGGAACTGTGCCCTGTACAAATGCGTACGCAACAGATTTTGTTAATTGTTGAAGCGCTGTTGCTGCCCGTTGGGAAGATCTTTATATGGATATGTGTGCGTGTTTGGATTGCTTGTCGAGAGTGCCAAGTGCCAATAGTGTGCGATAGTGCGATAGTGCGTTGAGGTGCCATCTGACGCGCTTAATTGCGTTTCACCCATACTCATCACGTCCCCCATCATGGCTCATCACGTCCCCCATCATGATCATCACACCCATCTCGAATCTCCATCATGATCCACGTAATCCCACCCGTACCAGTCATTGTCCGGCGGTGTGCCCTACGATATATGTTCTCAGTTTGTCTTGAAACGTTGCACCTGTCCTCTCTCGCCCCGTCCTTCGTCACCAGTTGTCATCTCATGCGACCGGTCTGTTGTTTATGAATGCATTCCCAGCGTTGGAAGTCCAAATAATCAATACGACTGTTGCTTAAGTGCTCCGCGATGTGTTGTATTATGCATGCATTGTCCAATACGCCCTCGTTCCCAGAGTGATACCTTGCTGCGCATGGATTGGATACTCAACCGTACGCGACCAGACTTTTACGCGAAATTGACTATTTATTGGTTTTATCGTCCCACCACACCTATTTCGACTTGACCACTTGACGTTTTGACTGGGTGACATTTTGACCTGAGTGACCTGACCCGTGGTGAGTGGTAAGGTCGCGCTCAGATGGCGCTGGCGTCGCCAGCACCACCGACGGCCGGTGCCGATATTAGGCCGCGCCCGCTCGTCCGAGAGCTGGTCTCCGCGCGTGGCGGCCGACGGCTGGAGCCAACCTGTGCCTTGCTGAAGCGGCGCTCACCACATTCGAGTGAACCTCGAGCTCGATTGGGATCAAAGAGTGGCGCTCTGTCATGTTCGTGAGGCATTGATGTGTGTACATAGGTTATTGAAAATGTCGGATAAATGGGAAGGATGGACGCGCAGTGTTCCTGCGGAGCGACGAATGGTGCTGCAGGAGCTGGAGATGGGAAGAAGCTGACGATTTCAAGATGATGCGCACGGAAACGCGCGTGCCCGGACATTTTCACCAGTTTGAGCAAACGACTAAATAGGTTGCCCACACGGGGTGGTCGGCAGGGAAAATGGTACATTATTTTTTTCTTTTCGAGCACGATTGTATGAGAGGTGTTGATATAAAAAACATGTCCGTCTTGAGGGGGATGTTCCACATTCGCAGATATTGAAGAAGACATCAGATATGAAATGAGGTCGCTTCTATCTGCTGGTGTATTTTAAGTGGAAAAGATTTCTCAGGACACCAATTTATTAAGTAAATGTGCTGCTCAATGCGCCATTGTTTCAATGCGTCATGGAACGTTGTTATGATGTTAGGGTGCTGTCTAATTAGCCGTGCGAAATTGCCACCTTGCTTATTTTGAAACACTGGTTTAAGTAAGCATGACCACCTGAAAATACACCACGGGCGTGGGGTAAACAATCTTAAACTACTGCCCGCCACGCTACGAGTGAATTGTGGACAATGCGCAGGCGCGAAGTCAACAGCAGGTCCGATTGGTCCAGCAAGCGCAATGTAATCGCTGGCTCTCAAAGTGGAAAGTAACCAAGTACAGGGGCGTAGTTACGCGAGAGGAGCGGGAGGAGGTGCGAAGGGGGCTCGACGTTCCTCGATAACGCACCAAGCAACGAGGTTACTGTCCGGGTTTGGGGGTTTGGGTCTCTTCTCGGAGCTGGACAGTTGGACAGAAGGACAGACAGAGCTCGGACAGAAGGACAGAGCTGGCATTTGACAATGAAGTATTACACTTTAGGTAAATGCTCCAGGGGCTCACCCAGAGCTTTGGCAGCGGGTGAGGGGGGGGGGGGAGAGGATTGGCAAAGGGCTCCCTGGTAGCGAAGAACACCCAAACAGGTAAAAAATTTGTGGTTACATAGCCAACCCGCATTTGTCTGGAAATATGCAACATCCATTCAGAATTGTTACGTGAGAAAAAATTATGCCAGTTAGATTTCAGCATAAGCACTATCAAATCTGAGCAACACAAATCCCCACACCCGGCGCTGCAGTCCCAAAGGCCGCGCCGCGTCGGCCCGCCCGATCCCCGGCCTTACACTCGGCAGCGATCAACTAGGCGGACGAATATGATGACGCATCTGAAAGAAGCATCCTGGAGCGTAAATTCGTGCGTTCAAAAGGCTGTCCGGGTGACATATCTTTCATCCGCAAGGAGTTTTAGATCAATGATAAGAACGAACCAGCCTATACAGCACCGTGAAGTGGAGCTGGAACATGGTGGTGGAGCTGGAGGAGCAGAGGAAGAATCGGTACTTCCGTGATGCGGTAACCTTTAATCTGCGCAGAGGACAGCCTCGCCATTGTAAAAAAAAACATACCCCAGCCCAATTTTTGAACGGCACGAATTTATTTTGAAAGAGCTCCGGAAGCAGGTACTTCACGAGCCCCATTCAGCCCCACCCCCCACCCCAACGCCCGCGGCCGCTACGCCCCGCTTGTCCGGGGCAGGCAGGCTGCATGCGTCAGCTACAAGTGGGCCCAGAGGCACCCTGGAGAGGGACCCCGACCGGGCGCCCAGAGCATACCCCGCAGAAGGTCCTTGCGCGGGCTAAGCTCGGCGATTGCCCCCAGGCGCATGCAGTCCTATCCCACCGTTATCCATCCACCCTCATCCCATGACCCTGCATGATCAATACTGTTTAAAAGGGCTCTAATCCAAGTAACCAAACTAACCAAATCGTGACCGAGACTTGTACGGAATACTCATTATTGGCTGAGAGCCAACTGACGTCCACGATGTTTGAAGATCGTGTTCACAGACACCAGTCTTAAACGGCTCAACGATAATGTTATTCTTGACCTTGAACGCCGCATGGCCCCTGGGGTGGCAAAATCTGAATGGCGTTGCCATGGCGTCGTGCATGCCTGAATGGGCTTGAAATAACATTCTGCACAAAACATTCTGCACACCTTCGCGAGCGTGAAGCTCAGAAATTCGAAGGTTTTCAGGTCATACGAAGGGCATGACTGTGAACTGCACCGCATGACCTTCGAAATGACTTTCAGTTCGAAACCCTATACCAATGTGGAACATCCTTTCACACAAACCTTGGGACGGGGTTATTCATAACCATTTGAGAACGAATGTGTTAACTGCATCCCAATCTATAAATGCGGAAACCTCGTGCTACAGTGTAGCACATGGTTTCCATCAATAACACACGGCTGGGTCGCCGGATTCAGATTAGTTCACAACTAACCTGAATCGGGCAGCTTGCCTCACGCGGACCATCGGTGAACAATCGCTTTCCTGACTGAGCACCGATGGCCTGGATCGATCGCCCCCGCCCCCCCCCCCCCCTCCACTCCCCACTCCCCAAATATCACTCTCTGAGACCCGGGGACGGTTGAAGGTTGAAAACGGGAGCAAAAATTAATGCTCTGAAATGCTGGAGATCCATTATCTTGAAAGCAGCTGCTCCCAAGTAGTCGTGCCAGTGACTTGACCTCAACTTAACAGTTGTGGCGTACTGACCCAACTTGACAGCTGTGGCGCAGCCAAGACGAGCTTCAGGCACAAATCGTTCTATGCCAGCTATGCGCTGACGCCTTCTCAGTGGAGCCGCCACGATGGGTCGTCAGCATCGGTTGACTGACGGGGTCACAGCGCCAGGGGCCGAGTCGGTTGACTGACGGGGTCACAGCGCCAGGGGCCGAGTCAGTTGACTGACGGGGTCACAGCGCCAGGGGCCGAGTCGGTTCACTGACGGGGTGACAGCGTCAGGGGCCGAGTTGGTTTCAGCAGACGTCCGCACCGCTTCCGCCAGTAACGGTGACGTCACACGGCGCGTGAAATCAGAAACTGGACGCCAACCGCTGGCAGGTACCAGAAAACCGAGGAAACGAAAGAACCGAAGAAAAAACCAAAAGGTGCCGAATCGGAAAGTTTCTGAGCCGCACTTCGGCAGCAATCCGTAAGTCAGGTCAAGCAGGCAGAGGAAGAGCCAGAAGCCTCCTGTCACGTGCGAAGGCACAGCATCCGTAAAATGAAAATTTGTACCGGGCTCCTTACACATACACATACAAGGTTCACATACACGATACATTTGTATTGCGCATCACCCTGCTTGAAATTATCACAGCCATAATACAATACACCACACCAGGCAGGCAAATGTACCGTTACATACGCAAACGCAATAAACTTCTATATGAAATAGCACATTCGAATATCCACACCGATCGAACGCGCAGACTACGTCCAAACTACCAACCCCACACTGGCCTCAGGGGTCGCCGGGTCCAACCGACCCATGAGCAGAAGACTTGTGCCCGCTCCGCGCGAGCTGGCTGGCACCGCGAGAGCCAACACATCCGGCCAGGAGCCACGCTACCCTGAGAGGCACACAATGCACGCAGCCGTCGGCATGGCCACGCAGGCGGCGCATTTGGGCCGCTATTTCTGCCCCACTGAACGGCCAAGCCCTGGCGACCTAGCGCCAAGGCAGCCGAGTGACAGTAAGCAGGCCAGTGGCAAGCGGAAATCGAGTATTCTAGCTCAACAGACAGAATCGGCGCGGGCAGGCCCGATTGGCCGCAGGGAAGTCGGTGGGGGCCGGTATGGACACACATTAACGCTTCGCATGCGAGACGCCGCGGGAAGCTACGCAAGCACCTCCGCAGCTGTCCAGAGCGTGCGGACCCACTGCTGGCGCAGTGCGCGGACCCACTGCTGCTGGCGCACAAGGTGGGCTGTACTGTTGCCGGACTGGACGTCATACAATCGACGCATCGAGTATTCTAGCGCGGTCGTGTCTGGCAACTTGTCGCGAGAACCCTCTTGGCCACTTCATCCAACGAAAAACAAAACGAGCGAGCAAAGCAAGTCACTTGGTGGACGCGCATGCGCATTGGACGGAAGCCTCCAGGCAATAAGGCAGCATGCGTCAAGGGCCACAGGCCAGACGGGCCGGCACTACCCCGGCCCCAAGCACAAATCGCGAAATGCACACCCACTCCCTATCACAGTGGCCTGAAAGGCGCGGCCGCTCCAGCATTCCATGTCCGTGCTGTACCGATGTACACGGCTGGGAGAGCGAGAAGATGTCCGTCACGCTGGTGGAGCCGCAAGATGCGGCGCTCGACTTGCGGACTCCGTGTTCGGTGACCTCGTCGCCGCGCGGATGCGATGGCAGCTACCCCGCGTGTCGCCCCATGATGCGGCCTAGCTCCTGAAGAGAATGCAGCGCTGCATTAGATCATTCGCATTGGTCAACGCGCAGCGCAAATGAACGACGGGTCGTGGTGGCATTAACGCCCAGATTCGCGTCGCAGCAATAGGCCTGAAATCATCCAAAACTAGACAAACTGAGCTTGCGGTATCACTTTGGAGGCTTTTCAGCTAACAAATGCATGCTCCATCGAACAAGAATGCACCTTAATTTCTAGGCCTCACAAACACATGTACTTAACCACATATCATGTACGCGCAAATTGCAATACGCGAGCTGAGGCCCTAAGAACGACACTATGCTCCATGACTATCACCCCGAATGATAAACGTTCTCTCACTCTTTGGCGCAACCTGTGAGCTGCGGGCTTACCGTGCGTTCCTCGTCGAAGCCGCGTGTGGTCGGTGAGCCGCTGCGCGAGCGACACGCCGACCGTCCACCACGGGAAGTCCGGCAGAGGGCTGGTCCACATCTCCGCTGGCGGGGCGGACGCGTGGCCAGCACGCCGCCCTGGTCACGGGTCACCGAGGTCAGGGCCGGCGCCGCAGCGCCTCGGGCGGCGCGCTCCGCTCCGCTAGTAAAGAGTTTCGCCGCCCGCCGCCAGGGGCGCTGTGCACGACACGACCACTGTACACACTACAGGTACATTTTGCGCCTCTTCTGGAGCGTATCAGTGCCCGCCACTAGATCACACGTCCGGTCATTTGTGCCTTTGGTTTGGTTCACCAGCGTATTGATCGGCTTGCCGTTGTTCCCCATGAACGGCTGCTCCACGCTGGTAAACACCGGCTGGTCACATCTGAAAAAAACAATAATTAATATCACTGCGCTGAGCTGTAGGCGGAACAAACTGTCTCAGAGAGATCTGACGGCGTCCATGCATCCAAACATGTGACCAGGATTTTCCTTCTCCGATTAAAGCGATGCCTGGAAGGCCACCGGCAACTAGGACTGCACGTTCCATCATGGCGGCACGACCAATGTCGGATCCAGTTGCCCAGCTTGACGTGTTGAATAAAACAAATTTTTCACTTGCTGAAGAAACCTTTAGCGTGTAAAAGCCGGCCGGCGCGCCTCACCTGTTGTCTGGCTTCACCGGCGGGGCCGTCTCCATCTGGTTCATCTTCGACTTGTGGTCCAGGTGGGGCGTCTCGTAGTAGGCCTCGCTGCGCGTGCGCGAGTAGCGACGCGAGATGAGCCAGCCGGCCAGGAAGCCGATCACCGCGGCCAGGAGGCACGTGGTCACCACGGCTACGGCTAGCGTCTCGGCCGTGTACATGCCGCCCGTCGCCGCCGCCGTCGAGTACTGCGACTCTGTGGGCACGGACACTGACGTCAGGCAACGCTGGTGGGCTGCCGAGAGGTGGCGGCGGAAGACTTTCGGACTGGCATTTGGAGTGGGGTATGCCATAGACCCATGCGGTATGCGATAATGTAGTAATTTTTTGCCATTATTGCTCGGTGTGCGATGCGTGGTAATTGGCAGCGTAACAGTTTACAGACTGAAATGACCTGGGCTATGTTTACCTTCTAATTTCTCCGATCGGACGGTTTGACCCCGCAGCAGCGGGAGCACATAACAACCCCACGATCCAGGCCAGCAAAACACCCCGGGCGTGCCAGAAGCATGCAGGAGAACAGCGTGCGGTAAAATGAAAAGTGAGAGCCACAACAAGCTGGCGATGGTTTCCGGTCTTACCTAGGAACTGGCTCAACGGGCGGGACTTGGTCCGCTCCACCGTGTCAACAACCTTTTGTCCGGCCGTTTCTGGATCAGACAGCTTTCTGTCAACGGCTGGTTCTGCAATAACGAAAATGTTGGACTATGCTCTTTGTGAACTTTACCTGGTGGAACAATACTGTAATTCTTGTGATTGTGCCAAAACCTGCTCTTGAATTTGCATTTTAACCGTAATGTGCAACATAATTTATCGTGTGACTAGCACTGCTTTTACAACGAAGCTAATGGGGCTGAACCCTCTGAACGTGGCACTCCCTCGTAAGGAATGAATAGAAGAGACAATAGCAGGCATGCGCCCAAAACGTGTCCTATGATGGCTGATAAATGCAGAACTCAGCCTGAATGTTTCCACTGCCGGGTATGGACGGCAGTGGAGGTCCTGGACATCGCCAGCACTGACCTAGTGTGTGCGCCGCGCGCGGCGTGTTGGGGGTGCGAGTCGCCGCGCCGGCCGGGTCGGCCCCACAGTCACAGGGCGCCGGTGCTGTCGTGGTGGCCGCCGTGGTGCGGGGCGCTACAAACAAGCAGACAGAGGATGCAGGGACCGCCGTGCAGTGCCGCAGGCAACACGCAGGCGCGCAGCACAGGCCGCGTGCAGGTCGGTGCACACACAAACGGCGGAGCACCAAGCGGCGAGGAGCAACACAAAAGCGTGACGTCAGCAACTACAGCGCAGCGAGTCGCAGTTCGCGGATCAGAGCACGAAGACGACACATAAAGCGCACGACCGACGGGCGGTGCGCCACTTACTGGCTGTTTCCCGGGAGACGGCCGCCCGCTCGCTGGTCGTGTCTGCAAATGAAACGGTGGCATTAAACGATCTGTCTGTCTCTCGCTCAGGCAGGCTCAGTAAAAGCATTGTTCTGGCGACAAAAGTCTCGACGGATGCTAAGCCGCATTACTGAAATGAATGACGCTCACTGCCCAGATAACGGAGCGCGGATGGCTTTTTACGGAGGGTTTAGCCATTACACCCTGAGTTGCACGAGTCTAAGGAGCACTCTTAACGCTCACATCTGGCAAGTCAAAGCATCAGCCACGACCGGACAAAACCTACGCCAACGAACCACACAAGCTAAATCAATTAAGCAGACTGCGTAAGCTAAGTGCATTTGCGAGGAACGTTATACATATAGATAGGACAGTAATGATAGACTTATTCCTCGTCGAGTAACCGGGAGAATGGAGAGATAGATATGATGTTTCGGCTACATATCATTGTCGAAACTAATGTCAGTAGTGAATTTGAATTGCCTGTCGATCCTAATAGATTTCTCAGCTGTTTTTTTCGGGGGGGGGGGGGGGGTGACAGCGAGCCACAGTTTACAGGCCACCAACATTCAGAGGATAAAACAAGGGGTAAATGCCAGCCTCAGTTGCCTGACGGTTGTTCCTTGTTTAATTCCCAGAATGTTGGTAACCCGTAAAAACTGTCGCTCGAAGTTAAAAAAAACAGCGAAAAGTCGAGTGGGATCGGCAGGCAATTTTAAAATGAAACAAAGCTATTCACCGTCTTATCAATTAAGCAGCCCACAAACAGCAGCAATCCGCATACGCGTTCCTAGCATGGAGCCAGCCTCAGGCGGGACGTGACGCTCACCGGGCGGGCAGTGCGGGTGCGCGCCGTGGCTGACGTTCTGCACCACGGCGATGCCCTCGGGCCAGGAGGACGAGTCGATCGGGGCGCAGCGCTGGCCGGCCGCCTCCCAGCCGCAGTACGGGTCCTGCAGGCGCACGCAGTCGGCGCAGCGCACCGCCTTGTCGCCGCACCGGTACAGCGGCAGCGCGCGCACCTCACTGTCCGTCACGGCCACCAGCCGGGCCGGGCCGGCCGGCTGGCGCGACACCAGCAGGTTGGTGATGGCCGCGCCGCTCGGGAACACCTCCAGCTCCTCCACCAGCACCGGCTCGGCGCGCACCGACGCCGAGCCAGAAGCCGCGTTCACCGCCTTCAGCACGCGACCGTCGTCTGTCGGTCGAGGGCGGGCATTTAGCGATACCGGTATGCGAGTTGTACCGAGTGGGTGAGACTCACGAAGGCCAACAGTGTCACGTCTCACGTAAGGCGGAGGGACAAATGCACGTAAAAAAGGACAGCTGGCAGCGTAGTGCGCGGGAATACAAACACTTCCGACATGAACCGTGCACGCAGACACACCTCTGGGCACCGCAGCGCACCGCCCGCCGCGCCTGCGCACTGCCGTACCGGTTCCGATGAAGAGCACGTCGTAGAGCGTGCCGTCGGCGGCGGCCACTTGCGGGTCGACGGCGATCTTGGTGAACCGGTGCCGCAGACTGGTGCTAACCAGCAGGGGCCGGCCGTGCAGCGCAGGCACGGCGGCGTCCATCAGCGGGTGCGACTGGATGAAGTTCAGGTGCACGTCGGACAGGCGGCGCGAGTCGCTGACGCAGAGGCCGGGCCGCGGCTGTGGCACCTTAGGCGACGCGCGGGACGTCAGGCAGGGTCACACGACGGGTCAGCCGGCGCCGTCACGCGCATCATGGTTACCTGGTAAGCCGTCGATGCCATCAAACGTATCAATGGACAGAGTGTCTATCATGGTCAAAATGCTGTTGTTTGGGAACAGATTAGTGTAACGTCGCATGACACAATGTCCGTGTGGTCTCGCACTGCCTACTGATCGGCAAATGGCCAGCACCTGATCAATTCATCGTGTACATGGATAATCGTGTAATACTCCAAAAACACAAATTTTCAGTGTCGAAATCCAACAGAGAAAGTCAGAGCCGAAAATGTATAAACGTGGGAACAGTCGAAGTGCTTAACCACCCCGTCAAAGTACCTAAACACCCTGCCGAAACGCCTAACTACCCCGCTGAGGTACGTAGCCAACCAGCCGAAGAGTCGGAAGTGCCTAACCACCCAGCCAAAATGCCCAACCACCCGCGCCGAGGTCTGCTCTCTGACCGATACCTGAGAATTCTGGAGGGGCAGCCAGTTGGAGTTCATGTCCTGCTGGTGCTTGAACGCGCCGTTGAAGGTCTCGACGATGTCGGCCATGCGGAAGGCGCAGATGGCCGAGCCGGGGATGCTGTTAGAGGGGGTGGTGAAGACGGCGTAGAGGATCTCCTCCGGCCGGCCGCCGTAAACGCCGCTCTGCACCGCCGATATCGACTCTGCGAACGAGGCAGCGCGGTCAGAGAGCGGCCCCCAGCACAGGCTGGGAGCGGCGGATGAGCGTCAGTATCGCCGACCGCATCAGCGTGCCCGACTGCGAACGGTACAGCGAACAGTGTAAGTCGCCCGCCACTGATTTTTGTAAATTTGCCACTCGCGACACCTTCGATCCTGAGCAGGGGAAATGAGTGGATGAGCAAAATGAAAGCAGACGGCCTTGATTTGTGTTGGTGCGGCCCACACAAATCACCACCTGACCCACAAGCCTGGCCGGGCTGCGCGCATCTCGGCGTTGCTATCCAGGCTGGTTATTTGGGGAATTAAGCCATCTAATCTAATTTCTGTGACCCTGCCTTGAGCTCCTCTTCACACAGAATGATAGGTGAGCCATCACAGCCTCGTCGCATAAGTCCCTAATCCTCGTCTTGAAACTCTAATCGGATGATTTTCCTGTTTGCAATACGTGACGCAGAGGGAATTATTCGTTTTCTTCCAATGACGCCGGGGCTTCACGCCTTGGCAGCGGCTTAAGCGAAGGTGATGTGGTGAAAATAAACTGAACCGGCCGTGGGTGATGAAAATTTCCGGCAACACTTGTAGGGATTTTACATAGACAAGTGGAAACAGGTGGCTGGCTGTGAAAGTGTCCGCAGTCGGTCACTTATCACTGCCGCCGAACACTCAACATGCAAACGGAATGTAAGACTGTTTAGCGAACAGAAAAAGAGGAAAGTTAAAACCCAATGAATGGGTCGAGAATGGCTTGATGAGACGGCATTCGCGGGCAGATCATGGCCTTCACTACACAAACTTCGAGACGCGTTATGGTACTCACGGATTTCGTCGAATGAGAAGGGATATTCCCCAGGAATGGAGCAATTGAGCCTGGATTTGAGGAAAGACGTCCAACTGTGCTTGTGCTTCTTTGATCCGCCCTTGTCCTTCTTACAAACGCGCGCCACGCGCGAGTACACCCTCTGTGAACAAACCGCGGGGTCATGGCCTACGCCGCCCAGCTAGCCACACAGCAGTCGGTCAAATCGCCACGGCAAAACAATGCCGGATTTTCTTTCAGCCATGAAGCGCTCAAATAATTGATTCCCCGCAGATTGACAGCAATAAATCATGTGATCCTCAGGACACACAAAAGCTCCGATGCCATGGCCGCAGCGACCGCAATGTGGCGTGAGTAGTACATGTCTAATCGGTCCGGTCGGGCCCGTCAGCGACGGAACAGCCACAGTGACACACCTGTGACGGTCGTGTCCGAACTCATACATGTCCGAACTCATACATGGTCGTGTCGGAACTCGTACATGTCCGAACTCATACGGGGTCGTGTTCGAACTCAGTACATGTCGAACTCATGTCGAGAATGACGAACCACGGATAGTCAAGGAAACAGCAAAGCCCAGCTAGACACGGCGCGATGTTTCGCTGGGCACAGTCTGTGCGTTCGGAAAGCACGCAGCCGGGAGCAACCAGAGTTCTGTCATCTTCGGTCACAGTACTTTAAGCTTTAGTTTACGTTACTTCCCAGCATTGTTATTTCATCGCGCTGGTCCTCACCTTGCCGCAGTTGATGTACTCGACGGCCGTCTCCCGGAAGAAGAAGTACACGTGATCGCCGTGCTCCATGGAGCCCACGAAACTTGGCGCTGCAGAGCACACGAACAATGCCCGGTAAGAATCTCCTCTAAAGGTATGTGACCGGACTCGGCACAATCCAACCAAATCAACAAAGAAGTAAGTAATTAAAAAATACAATATGGTCAACTAACAGGGCTAAGGCGCCCGCATGTGATCATAGCTACAAAATGGTGACCTGTGTGTTACGTGGTCGGGCTTCCGCCATCTTTCCTCTTTCCATTTGTATCCGTCCATCTCTTTTCGGTCTACTCCCGCCATCTTTCCTCTTCCCAATTGTATCTGTCCATCTCCTTTTGGTCTGCCTCCCCCGGGCTACCAATCTCACGGAGTCACCTCGCCAGCCTGCACAGCAGTAGTCTGGCGCCCTCTGTCCTGCACCAGGGAGCTTCACAATCCTACCGTCTCTTCCCCACCACAGACCGGTACGTCCACCCTGCGCCCCCCCCCCCCTCCGTCCCCCCCCCCGCTGCGCCACATCGCGAGCTCAGGCGTGTGATTTCTGGCTCGAAGCTGAGGCCATGGCCAGCCGGTTCGGATCAGCTGCGGCGCACACTCATCACACCGGCCTGCAGGGCCGCTGCTGGTCATCACCGCCGAGCCGGCCCGGTGCAGAGCACTGCGGAGGACGCGGGCCGGTCTGGTGGGGCCCAGAGAAGGTCAGGTCGTCCGTGGCGAACGGCGTACTCCGCGGGTGAGAGGCGGAGGTCGTCCGCTCCGAAGCACGGGCTCAACCGACAGCCACGTGGTAGACCCTCCGTTCCCCAGGAGCCTCCGAGGTGACACACCCCTCCATCAGGTCACTCGGGCCGCGACAGAGCGCGCCGACCGTCGGCCACAGTATATATTATCCGGCAGATTATACCGGCCGCAGGTGGAGGTCACAGCGCGGGCACTTCTGGCGCGCTGAGGTGGTGGGCTTTATCGGCCCAGACGCCCTGGTTAGAGGGAAGGCACGCCGCCAGGCTGCCTTTGTTCCATGTGTCGTCCTAGCCGACCCGCAGCTGGCCGTCAGTGCCATGAGGCTGCCGCGGGACGAGCACGTCCGTGGGATTGGACGCGACGTTGGATTTCGAAGGCTCTTGATATGGAAGTGGTGATGCATCTGGACACGTTGTGCCGGTTCATAGTTCCAGGGAAAAAAGCCAGCAACAGAACTAAGCGCAGTCTTATCTTCTCAGATATCTGCCCTTTTACAGACAATACCGTCACAAGGAAATTGGCACATTCGTGACGAAACCTACTGCAACAGCAATCGTTCGACAGAGATGAGAGGACTTGCAAGAAAATCAACTATACCATCGACAGTCGCCTTCATTTACAAGTCTAAACCTGGACCGAGGGATGGCGGGCGCTTCTGCGTTCGACAAGAAGCCAAGCTGGGAAATTCTTTAATCTAAAGGGTGCATATCATTTGACTGCAAAGGCTAAGCACCACACGGCTGAACAGGCGCCGGCCGTTACCAATAACCCCGGCGACGGCTGAATACAGCGGAGCGGTGCACAGAAGGCCTGCCGCCGACGTCATCCGTCATCGGCGGCAAATGGGGCGGGACGCGCCGTGGCGCCGGGTCGCGCACCGTCCCGGTCAGCTGCGGCGGGCCCGGCGCTGCGGCCGCGTCACACACGGGGAGGCGGCACCGCCTCCGGGCCGCGGTTCAGGCCGACCAGCCCCTGCCGCTGTTTACTCCCAGGCCGAATATAGCGCCAGCCAGGAGCTGCCGCCATTTACACGGCGGGTCAACACTAACACGAACGCTGACGTTGTTGGCGGCGGGCGATAGTGCGTTAACACGTCGCAAAATCAACATACAATGTTTATATCCAGATTGCAGGCCAAAAAGGATGCCATTTATATTGGAGGCATAAGCAAACTAAAGAAATACGGCGTCGGCATTTTGGCCACCTCGGATGTTGGATGGCTCCGATGCTATAAGGCGCCCCACAGCTCTGCGGGAGGGGATAAACACCGGCGGCGCCTACGTTAGCCGGAGGCAGCTGACGGACGCCACCACAGGCGTCAGCCTCGAGCACTGTATACCACGCCCGTCGCCCGCGGCGTCGCCCCGACATTCCCGACCATCGCAGCTCATGAGTTATAGTGGACGATGAGCAGCGAAGGTCGGGGGCGTGTGTCTGTCTGAGGCCAGGACGGCGACGTTCTCTCAAGGCTGGGCTCCAGGCGGCCAGTTTGGATGCGCAGCACGCCGAGACGTGGCGTCGACTCGTGTCACCGCGGAATCAAAGCGACAACAACTTGGCGGCATTGGCCCTCAGCGAGTGGTCCACATCACGCTCAAGCAATAACCCGATCGAGGTCTGTAATGTAACGATAATAACGTAAGGTAATGATAATGTCATGACGGTAATGTAATGATGGTACATTACTTTATAATAATGGCGCGCTACTAAAGGTGGTCGCTTAACGGACTGACCTCTCCAATGTGAGAGGGCGTGTTTTAATCAAGCGCCGGCACTCGCAGCCGATTGTGGTCGGAACCAGACAATCAAGTGTCCGTCATGAATCACCCGGAGCCGAGATCGGGACCGGAGTAGCGGCCACCGGACGCCTCCGTCAGCTCCAGGCGGCCACAGCAGCGCCCAACATCGATCACACACCCCACGTCGGCCACAGATGTGACCCCGCGCCCCGCACGGCTACGGAACACCGGCCGTGTCGGCGCCTCCTGACGGTAGCGGGCGGCCGCGCTTCGTCGGCGCGTCACGGCCGTCACGGGACCGCCGCGGGGTCTTTATAGGCGGCCGCTGGACGCCAGCCAGACACGTCGGCAGCCGGAGTCGGCCCGGCAAACTGGGCTCACGTGCCGGGCTGGGGAGGGTGGGGGGGGGGGGGGGGGCGCCTGCCGTCACGTGTAGGAGGCACACTTTGCCGTCGGCGCGTGAGAGCTTCAGGCGCCCCCCGGAGACACGTACTGCCGGCACGCCGCGGGAGGCGCCAAGGAGACGAGCCTCGAAGCCGAGGTCAGAGGTCGGGAGGTTGGAGCACCGAGTCCTCTGTGGCCGATGGCCGACAAGGTGTGCGAGGACGGTCTGTGTCATCTGCCCACCTGTATGTCGCCCTCCGTTCCACACCCAATACTACTCCGCTGCGACAAGCGCCGTCAAACTTCTGCCCCATTGCACGCCTATTACATGGAGAGACATCAGCGTTTCAGCCCCTCCGCGGGGCAAGTTCGGTCAGCCACCTCTCTCGTACGTGATCCGCCAGTCTGGGCGGTTGTCGCCTTGGCTGTGGCCTATCACAACCCCTCGCCAGCGCGTGCTGCAGCCAACGGCCCACACACCTCCGTGGGTGGAGATCCTGGCACCTTTTGAGCGCCCGCCTGAGGCAATAAATTAGAACCCCACTATAAACTGCGTGACTTTCGTACGGCCCCTCGTTCCGTATCAAGGAACGCATGTAAGTAAATAGAGCCAGAAGGTGACGCCAGCAGGAAGGCAAAAGATCAGCTCCAAAAGAACCAGAAGGTGGCGCCGCCAGGAAGGCAAAAGATCAGCTCCAATAGAACCAGAAGGTGACACCGCCATGAAGGCAAAAGATCAGCTCCAATAAAACCAGAAGGTGACACCGCCAGGAAGGCAAAAGATCAGCTCCAATAGAACCAGAAGGTGACACCGCCAGGAAGGCACAGATCAGCTTACCAGTCACCGCACTCGCAACAAAGCCGGGTACGTGTGCACGTCCCATGCGAAATAGGTATCCAATGGCGATTGTCGAATTGAAGCGAATAGTAATAAAACGGCAACAAGGTGAGCAAAAATGAATCACCTAGTTTGCAAATTCATGTACAAATTCACCGACGCATGTTATTTATGGCGAGGTGGCTCACATTTCTGACACGAGCAGCCCATCCTAAACGAAAGAGCCCTCTTCTTCGGCGTTGCGGCATACGCAACCCTCAGTTCGGAGCGCTGTATCTACGACGTGCATTTGCTACCAGCATATGCGATATCGTACCTCTAGTAACATTACATTATCACATTAACCAGTCATGAGACAACATGATACACATTTTCCTATGTGATAAAGGCCTGCACAATGAAACAAATCGGCTTACAGATAATCTAGAACGTCCGTTAAGGACATAAAAAGGTCATGTTTCAGCCATACGGAAGGATTCGTGCTATCAAAAAGCCCATGCTCCGATCCAATAGATATTTGCCGGTGGCTTTGCGAGGAGGAAAAAAACTGCAAAGCAAACGAAACATTCGTCAAGGTGGTAAAAACACAGGAAAAGATTGCGTCCATTTGGTAACTTATGGGACCTGTGGACGCGAGACAATGCAAACTGGCTGGCATTGCGACCATAGCTACCTGCCACGGCTCTTTCGGGATTCATATCTTGACAACCCTGCATCGATCACGGCAAACATGCAGTGGCACACGTGTTCGGAAAAGCGAGCCGCTTTTGTAACAAAATTAATGCCCCGCTTTGTGACAGCTAGTTCAGGGGACAAAAATGAAACGACAGTCTATTTTGACGCACAGAACGTCCGCAACGAACTGTGAAGTTGCACGGATGAAGATCCACACAATGCTGTGCGATATGCCCATTCCAATAATCGATACACTTGAGCGCAATGCTTACCACTTGTGGTTAAAAAATGTCGACCCTCTCGTATCTGCACCATCAATCCAATTACCTGACACATGCAAACCAGACTTGACATGGCTCATCGTGAGTTTGGGGATCTTACGTCGACGGCCATCGCCTTTAATATACCAGGAGGCACCGATGGAGCGATGCTATCATAAAGCATATACTATATTGTTATTGTTTCAAGCTGCGCTTCTGGCCACTTGTGATCGTACACACAGCTTGAAACGTCGAGAATAAAAATATGACCAACGCATTGGCCGCGAGGAAGCAAGCGAGCCCCAGCAAACGAGCATTGCAATGCTTGCGTGATAAACCAGTACCATTCTCATTCTCTCTCTCCTGATTTTTAACCAGTACCTCCGTTTAACCAGCATCTCCTGATATTTTGAAGGTCGACGATTGTCGGTAAATATCTTGAAATGGCTCAAACCGAACATAGCTAGGCACCGCTCACGTCGCCCACTACGAGGACGACGGACAGACAGACACCGCATCAGTGGCCGTTTTCACGGAAGCGTGTCAGCGTGAAGCGCTTGGAGACACCGCTGTGTGCTCCTAAAACCACGCTCGACTTTGTGTTGCACCTATCGGGGTTGGCTCAAATGCATGTTTATAAACAGAAATGACTTAATGTCGCTCCATCACGTGCCCAACAGCTAGACACAAACATTTGGCTTCTCAGAATGGCCTAAGATATTTCACGGAGTCGTCCTTCGTGAAAACGACCGCGATCAGACGCCGTGCAGATACCACTTACCGTACCGCTACTACAGACGACCAAGCCTCCTAACGGGCCGCAAGACATCGCCAGACACTGGCACACGTGACACACACCCGCCTGCGGCGGACCGACACTCACCGTTGAGCTGTTTGAGCTCGAACTGTTGGGTGCGCAGCGGATGTCGGTAGAGCAGAGGGTCCGAGCCGGCGAAGTCGGCCACCGTGCCCGCGTACAGCTCGCCGCCTGGCGCAACGAGCACACGCAGTCGGGGTAAAGGGCAGGCAGGCACAAACGCCATCAGTTCTCGCCTGGCTACGCTGCTGACGCAGTAAACTGTGCGGCAACATTTGCAGACGCCGAAAATTCGAAACGCAAGGATGGGTGTATTCAATGACCAGACCTAGGCAGCCTAGGACAGAGAACTATCACTAACTAGGCTTAGCCTTTTACCAGCGACATGCTCCACAACCGTACACCACCAGCAAGTTTCCGGCGATATCGCGAACGACTCCCCATAGTTTCCGGCGACGTCGCGACCGATTCCCCACAGTTTCTGGCGACGTCGCAACCGACACCCCACAGTTTTCGGCGGCGTCGCGACCGACTCCCCACAATTTCGGGCGATGTCTCGAACGACTTCCCCTAGCTTCCAGCTACAGCGAACGACTCCACACAGCTTCCGGCGGCGTCGCGACCGACTCCCCACAGTTTTCGGCGGCGTCGCAAACCACTCCCGACAGTTTCACAATAGAAGCACGGCGCGGCGCCGGCAAACGTCGTGAACTCACCGACGAACGTGACCGTGCTGTTGTGCTTGGGGTCGTACGGGCACAGGCCGCGACCGTCCCGCTCGCCGCCCTGAGGCACGTAGCCCAGCTCCTGCAACACCAGGTGCCACTGTTCAGGGAGGACAGCATCCTTAAGCTGTGCCAGGGGCAAATGCGTGCTCTGCAGACATGAGCGCGTGTCTCGGCCTTCGCCGTTATCTGCATAGCGTTTAATGAGGCCGTTTATCAGGCGCCGTTTGCGGAGGGACCTCGGGGGCGCACAGAATGTTTCGGCTGTCGTGTTCATGCCTCACATTCACTTACAGAAGGTCGCGCCGTGAGCGGCATTCGTTTGCAATTGTCTGAGCTGTACCCACCGTTATATACTGTATGCACGATGCTCGCAAACGATAGGACACTCCTGAGCAACTAACTGGAGACGCCGCTGCCGGCGGGGAAGGCCCCCGCCATGCGCGCACACGTGTGACGACTGACGACAGCGTTCCTGCCAGAGAGTGCACGTACCGGTTCCTTCTTGTAGCTGCGGCACTTGGGTTTGTAGGAGTTGGTGCCGCACACAAACAGCTCGTCGTCGCCTCTCTTGGCCAGCACTCGGATGTAGTTGTGGCACGCCTCCTGTCGGAGCGCCAAGGACACGCGTGGTGACATCGCCTCAACAACAGCGGCCCGGGGGGCGACGGTGGGCGACGTCGTATCACGAGAGCATTCCAACCTCTGATGCCCGCAAATTAGAGTCAAAACCATGCCAGGCGCGTACCGCTGGTGAAGCGTGGACACTCGCGGTGCCCCATTCATAGTCGAAAAGATTATGACCTCGCTCACGGCTGGCAGTAACCCTGAGATGTGAATCCGGATGGCCGTTCACGCGAAGAGACATCACTTAAGCGCCATCTCGCCACAGCTGACACCGGCTGAAGCGGAAAATTCGGCGCACCAAGCGGAGGGAACAGCGCAGGAGTAAGCAGAAATCCGGTACGTTATATGGCAGCAGAGCGACCATGAGAGAAAGAGCGCGCACACGGGCTTGAGCGTATCTCCCTGGCTTTCCGTTCCAAGCATGGACATGTAGTTCCCCTCCCTCTCCTCTCACAGGAAACCATTGCCAGCCATCGGAGTTAAAACGTGTATGCCGGAAGCAGTCCTAATGGAGAACGATCTCGGAGACATATGTTAAGGGTACGGTAATTTATGCGCCACTAAAACGCCGGGGGCGAGCCGAGTGAAATAAGTTATCGCCACTCCCGGGTTATGTTTACGAGCAAAAACAGGAGACATGCAACGAAACAAAGCGTGGTGACGTGGGCTCCAATAAAGTCGGCCCGCCCGCGCCTGCTCGGGCAGGAGAACGGCGCCATGCCTGGATAGAAGCGAGGATGTGCACTTTAACAGGTGAACGGAAACACGCACCATGATCAGAGTGCAGTGAGCCGGACCACTCAGCTCCGGCGACAGAGGACCAGCGCCGGACCGGCGAGTCGGCCGCCGTACGAACTGGGCCGTGCCAGCCAGTCGCTTTCCAGCGAATTCATAGCGAAAGAGCGCTGAATGCGGCCACGGCGGCGCACGTGCCCATTGTCCGTTCATGTCATCTGCCTTTGTTAGGCGAAGCCACTCGTGTGGAGCGAAAATGTCTGCAGCCCCGGCAGAGAAGTTTCGGTGAGCGCAAGGTGCGCGCTCGCTGCCCGTGCTCACCTCGTCGAGGCCCTTGTTGATACACAGCTGGACGTCCTGCTGCTCAGAGTGCCATTCGAGCCGCTCCTCCCGGCGCTCCGTGAAGTCAGACAGGCTGATGTTGAACACGATGTTCCTGGAACACACGTCACGTGTCAATGGGCACCACAGAGCCCGGTATTGAACACGATGATCCTGGAGCACGTCACGTTTCGATGGTCCGTGCCGCTCAGAGCCAGCCACGGCCACCTCTTGAAGCGTGTTCTTCCATCCGTGCCCCAGAATTGATTTCACGGCTCATAAGTTGATTAGGGGACCCTAGGGGCAGACAACCGAAGGGGTCCAATATGAACGGGCTGTTGCCATGAAGGCAGCTCACCCGTATCGACTGAGGACAGAAGTCCGCAACCGGCTTGCCATCGACCAGCCGGCAACTTTTGTGGTTAGCTCGCGAGCTCACAATGTAGTCGAAATGAGATAGCCGCATACCCACGGCTTTAGGGAGAGATCAATCATGGAACGTAGTCAGTATGCATTCGCCGTGAGCACGTATTTGCCAACCTGCTTTGTCAGTGAGTCACGCTGAAGGTGTAACGTTAGAAATGAACAAATGAAGGGACGAGCGTTTCTTTGGATTTTGGAAGCCCTGTGAAAGCTGAACAAAGCGATTCATATTTCAAGAAAGCTATTCGAATAGCTTTACATATGTAAACATAAATAAGGTCTTCGGACGCTTCCAGTACTCAGACCAGTTTCTCGGCTACCGCGAGCCAGTGCACCATTCAGGACTGCCTCGACCCACAGGTCCTCGGCTTGCATACTCGACTGAGGCATGCGTGAAGTTGGCCGCACGCTCGGTGCCTCGCCACGCATTCTCGTCCGCGCGCTCGGTGCCTCGCCACGCATTCTCGTCCGTACCCTCAGTGCCTCGCCATGCATTCTCGTCCGTGTCCAGCACACAGCACACGTCCTGCCAGCCCGGGAGCGCCGGCCGCTTTTGGCGAAGGGAAAGTGTATAATAAAACGAACGACCGCCGCGTTGTGACTTTTATTGGTGTAAAAGTCACGGCTGAACCGCGGGAAGTTTGCCGTGCGGGGCGTGGCAGCCCCCACCACCGCAGCCACCCCCTCCCCGGCGGTGGCGACCTGGGCATACCCAGCTCCTGTGGGCGGTCCGACCATACTCAGCTCCTGTGGGCGATCTGGCCATGCCCACCCCCTCCCCGGCGGTGACGGCCTGGCCATGCCCAGCTCCTGTGAGCGGTCTGACCATGCCTAGCTCCTGTGGCGCTGACGGGCTGTGACTGGTCGGGCTGCTCTGGACCGCTGGGGCTGGGATCGGGAGGTCTCCACATCAGAGCAGAGAGAAACGCCGGAGCTGGGCTGATCTGACCCATCAAACACGTGGCCAGCTCAGACAGGTGTATTAACAGGCAAGGCAGATGAGCTGGCAAGCCTGACTCACGGGCCGGCGGAAACAGTACTTTTTTACATTGATGAGCATGAAGTCCATGGACAAAATCCGCAACAATCGCAGTCACCTGGAACAGATTAACACGCGGGAATAACTTCAGACCAGCAAACTTGGGACGTGAGTCGGATGCCTGTCATTTCGATGTTTAAGTGCACAGTTAAATTTCGACACGAAGGGTTCCACTTCCCATTCAAGCAGTCCCGATGCCCTGAAATTGCTGGCCACTGCCAGGCTCCACGGACCAACGGTCCGCTAACCAAAGGCTTCCCTCACTTAACTGCGCTCGTATAGAATGCCTCCCCGCCTTCCCTATCAGAAATATCGATTTTTCATGGAGATTAATCGATCCAATTAAACTGGGCTGAGCCCTCTCATGGATCAGGACCCATTTCGTGCGAAGCGCGAGCATTTTCCGACAATATAATCGCACGGGCCTGGACGGAGCGGGGATTGTACTACCCCTGACGGTGCTCCACTCAGTAGGGGCACAGACAAACAAGTCAGCGAGCGTGTCCCTACAATACTGGCAGATGAGTGATGGCGAAATCAGCCCAGCTTCCTCTCATTGTCTGCTCCGTGACACCATTATGGCCGGTATATGGACCGTGAGACGGCTCTCGCTGACCGGCGCGCGTCTCGGAGGATGGATAGCGCGACAGCGCGTACCACGAGGTGTCTGTTATCCAGCGGTGCGATCAGCTTCACCCGGCATGGGAGTGACGGGGTGGGAGCAGGACGGACGGGAACGGGCAGGCAGTGAACCCATCTGCCCGCACTGAAGGAGACAAACCGCACCCCGCAGGATTTAATGTGTGAATTCTACGAGCAGTCAGCGCGAATCGGGAAATGACTGAAGTCGGTCAAAGCGGTTGACAGCTGCCGATGCCGCTGCATTGGTTGGCGGCTGACGTTGGAAAGCCCGTGAGAGGTTCAGTGGGCTGTCGCTGTCGGACGTTGCACACTGTTGTATGCTAACTTCCACATGATGTCTGACGTCAATTCATTAACGTCTCACACGTTATACACTTACCCTGTGGAGTAACAGCCCCTAGTGTCAACCAGGCGGTTGACCCCTGTTAGAGGCACCGGCGCTTGGGCAGATTATCTCACCTGGCACCAATGAGTAGGGTGTTGCCGTCTTTCTCCAGCAGTTTGAAGTGGTCGTTGTGAGAGAGGTTGCCGGAGAACCTCAGCATATTCTTCTCATCTGAAAACAGAGCACCACGGCATTAGTCAAAGTTACATCAGGTGCGCTATTATTGAAATGTATCGGCGCTTTAACAGATTTAAAACGCATTATACGGGACATAAATCGCCATAACTGCGAGCCTTTCAAAACACCTGACGTGCATTTAATACTGCCCCAGGCTGTCCTCCGAGCGTATTTACGCTTGGAATGGCCATATTTAATCTTCGAGCTGCTCATTACGACCAGGCCCGCCCGGGGTATTTTCAGCACCGCACCGAGTCGTTCTAACCAGGCCAAGACCGGCCTATACACGACCGGAGGCGTGCCTGGCAGCCGCTTCCCCGGACCTCGCGGGCGGCCGGCTGGAGTGGAGCGGACGTACGCGTCGCCGGGCCGCGAAGCAGGCCGCACCAGTCAGCCGGAATACCGCCGAACGCGCGCTCACGACCGCGAGCGGCCGCCGGGAAGAACGCGCCTTTCGCGCGAGGCTACCTGAGGGGTTCGACGCCGCTGCGATGAACTAGAGGGGGAAGGGGGGACGTCTGCCGGCTGTCGTCAGATTCTGAGCAAACGGCAGGCAGACACGGCCTTTAGAGCGACGCGTCGCCCCAAAGGCCGCCTGTGCGGGCGGGTGACCGCAGGCACGCGTGCGGTGCGAAGGTGAGGTGCGAGACGCCGCCGAGAGGTAAACCGGACGGAATGTAGGTGACCCCTCCGCAGGAGCGGGCGGGCAATCATACCACCCCTGGCTCGACACGGGGCACTACAGCGGTACCGGAAGTGACCCTGACCGCATTGGAGGCAGTGGAGCGGTTGATGCTTGACCCCGTTTGCGAAATGAAATTGCCGCTCGTTTTGCGGCAACGGGTTGGTGCTGCATCGTGAGGTGTAATGGCAGAGACGGGCAGCGGCCTTGTGCTGACTCCGGCACGCGTCGATGTTTGCTCGTCTGCTTCATGGTGGAAGGCTTCAGGTAGCACTTTGCGTGCTCTGATATTTTAAAATCCCTGAAACCACTCAGGTCTTTGCTTAGCTTATGCTCCGCCTGGCTATTTCTTAAGGAAACGACCTAGCCAGGATTACGGATTAAGGGCAGGAATGAGACCAGATATTAGTACTACGGAGCACAATTGTTCGGACTATATTCCTCGCTTGGTCAGTATTTTGGAGTGTAGTGTGTAGTCCATCGATGCACATACTAACACACCGGGCGAGGACGATTTTCTGAAAAATATTCCATCCGTGCTAGCTAAAATTGTTTATAAGATTGTTAGGTCCATTGAAGCCAAAGTGACAACGTTTTCTGTTCCGCCATAGCCAACGAGCCCGTAGGGGCTGGGCTGACAGTGTAGGCATAGTGGCTCAGTTGGTTGTGCTTATGAGAAACTGGCAAAAGCACAACAAACCATGCTTTCGCCTTCACTCAGCACCACTTCACATCAGCGGCGTTTGTTGAGGCGATGTTCTGGTGTTCTGCCCACGTGTTCTGGTACTGCGTTATTGGATACGCCCTGCATGGGGTGGGCTGCGGTAGCGCGCCTTCATCCACTCTCGGATGCACCTTCCTCCTTACTTTTTCCTCTTTTGATCGTAAAGCTGTGATTTGGTTCTCAAATGTCTGCGCAACGGAAATGTGCGAGCGAGGTGAACGAAGGTGCTTTGCCGCGCTGTGGGATGCGTTTCTACGTCTGAATTTTGTGAGAAACTTCTGCTGTTTCGTGGATGTAAAGAGGCACGGCAGTTAAATGGAGAATGCAAGTCGTTTACGTTTCTGTCATTTCACTAGGTTATTTCATGATGAATTGCTGTTAAATGTCAAACATGAAATGCTCAAATGGTCGTCAAAGAGCCCCGCGTGACCATGCCATCTAGCGGTCAATTCACTGATATTCATGACGATGGCAACACTTTGATGTCGTGGATGCCATGCTGAGTTTAAAGCCCAGTTTTGGAAATTGCCAGAAGTATGCAATACAATTTTTCAAGTGTATTGATAACATGTTCGTTCGTTCATTTCAAAAGTTCAAAACAGGATGATGTTACAGTCATGTCCCGTCATAGAAAACCTCTGATGAGCTCACTGTATCATTCGGAAGTAAACAGTGACATGCCCTTTATCGGAACCAGTTTTGCGCCACGACCACAAAGAACATCCAAGCGACAAACGCTGCAGAGGACAAACGCCGCCGAATCCGTCAAAGCTGGCGTGGGCTGAGCGTTGCCTTGAAGCCCTCTCGATTAAATCCTCGGGAGGGAGTCATTACTGATACTCATCTCGGCCACATCGCTAAACGCCGACTATTGGCCGGTGATTTTTCAACAGCCGAGGCCAGAGCGCCTTGATCGGGCGTGGGCAGCCCATCTGCCGTCGGCTGCGACGGTACCCGAACCTGCCGCATCAGTCGGCCACAAATGTCATCTGGATGCGGTGTGACACTGCGAGTATCCGCGCTCAAATAAACGGTCAAGGGAATTAAGGTCAGCTCCCGGATTAAAAGCCCGTGGTCCAGTCGGGTAGGTGATTGACACGACGCTACTGAGATAGGCACGATCGCAGCGCTTGGGAGTGAGCTACCTCATCCATTCAAAAAGCTTGGACTCATTCTTGAAAAGACACAACAAGAAAGCATGCTCGATGTTCCGTGCGCCTGTTCACACCAGGTAAGGACGCAAACAGCAAACAAAAACCAGTAGATCACGAAATATGGGGCAAAGCTAGCACTTTTCCCCGCCGTGTGAAGCGTGGAACAGCCCTCACACTCAGAAAACCCTGCGCACAGGTTCCACCAAAGCCCACGGGTAGTGATTGCGCGCCACCAATTTATCTGGAAAAAGCTGAACTACTAAACGCGTCTTCCTGACAGCATCTGCCCATTCATCATAACTCCCTGCCAGGCTCCGCGTCATGGCGTCTCCCACTGACCCTGCCAAGGCATCTCATCTCATTCCACCCGAACTACGTCATGGCTCAGACCACTACACACCCACCGCCACGAAGGACACGCAGTGGCGGAGGAAGCTGATGGTGCCGATGGGGAGTCACCGGTACCGAAGGAGAGACACCGGTGCCGCTGGACAGCTACCGGCACCGACAAAGAGCTACCGGTGCCGATGGAGAGCCACCGGTGCTGATCGACAGCCAACGATACCGATGGAGAGCCACCGGCACCGATGGGGGACCGCCGGTGCCGGCAGACAGCAACCGGTACCGATGAAGAGCCACCGGTGCCAATAAAGAAACACCGGCACCGATGGAGAGCCACCAGTACCGATGTGAGACCGCCAGTGCCGATGGAGAGCCACCGGTACCGATGTGAGACCGCCGGTGCCGATGGAGAACCACCGGTACCGATGGAGAGCCGCCGGCGCCGATGTGGGACCGCCGGTGCCTATGGAGAACCAGCGGCACCGATGGAGAGTCGCCGGGGGCGATGGGAGATCGCCGGTGCCGATGGAGAACGACCGGTACTGATGGGGAGTCGCCGGTGCCGATGGAGAACCACCAGTACCGATGGAGAGCCGCCGGTACCGATGGAGAGTCGCCGGTGTCGACAGGAAGCCGTCTGCTGCGGCAGCGGTTGTTTATTGTTTATGCTGGGCGGCTGGCGCCTTGGCCGTAGCCGTAGGAATGCCTGGCTGGTCCAGCCAATCGTGACCAGGGTCAGGTGGCACGCCTGGGGCAAAGGTCACGGGGCCACGGGCGCCGCCGAACCCGCGTCGAACCGCGCCGCACCGGTGGGGGGGGGGAGGGGGCGCAGATGTCGGAGTCGCAGATTGAAGGCTTTGGCGGCAGCTGACCTTGCTCGATGTCGGAGGTGGCGCGCTTGGCAGCCGTGCTGCGAGCTCCGAAGTGAGGCGCAGTGAGCTCCATTCGCGAGTGCCCCGCTTTTGGGAACGCAGCACGTGCGGTCGTGCCCCTGGTGGGAATCGATCCAGACGGAAGCAAACCCGACGCGTTGTAAATGACTCATGCCCGGCCACCCGCCGCGATGATTCACGATAATCCACAACGCGGAAAGAACGGAACCAACGCGCTTTGCGACGTCTCACCACGCGTAAAAAGCCCGCGTCGCTGCAAACTCAACTCGCCGCGTCATCTGCGCACGAGCCTGTGCCGAGAATCGAACGTCCCGGCGCCGGACAGCAACTTCCGGCGACCCGTGACCGCTGGACGTCCCGCTCCGCAGTGCGGTGGCGCTCATTAACGTTAATTGGCGGCCACAGCGCGCGCTGGTGATTCAGCGGGCGTGGAAGGCTGTGGAGACGCCACACACCCGGCTCAACGATACGCCATGTACAATGAGTCGGTGCAGCTGAAAGGGCTGGCAGGCTGGTGGGGTGTGAATAACACATGAGTGATACTGTCCAGTTCTCATTTTTCGCCCGCCCACAACGACGGTACTGACCCGCTCTACAAAATAGCCTAGTAAGTGCATGGGGCACAATCACATGTTAAAAGTTACCGCCGGGCGATTTGCTTTCATGTTGTTTTACAGCGTCGCAATCCTAAATTACCCCAGTCTCCTCAAAAGTTACTGAGGTCCGGAACCCAGCGCCCCGTGGTAATTCCACCAATGAGTGTGGTGGTTTGGCACAGCGGGATTTGGCCCGCACCGCTCTCTCTGCCGCCACTGCCACTGACGCAAGAGGCGGCTGGTGGGCATTGTGTCAACTCATGCTATCTCGGTCAGGGTATCCTTCCATTCACTTCACAGGAAGGCCTTTCTCACACCACAACGATGAAGGCGGCCAGCTTTCAGCTGTTTTAATCGTCTAAGTCTAAGAGCTGTCTTATAAGCACAGGGGGTGTGGTGGTGGACTTCATGACTTGTATGTCCTGTGGTGTTTATGTTTTATGCCTGGCATTCAATACATTAATAGTTCAATTAAGGCCTCTCAGCACGCGGCTAATTTCATCGCCTAACGAGCCATTTTATATTAAATGTTTCTTGTCTATAATGCGAATTCGTAATAGCCATGTCATGGAACGATTCGAAACGAAATACACACATTCACGA